ACTGGCGCGGCACGCAAACGCATGGATTCGGCCATTGGACTACACATTACACCCTAATTGGGTGATTATGGCTGGGTTTTGATTTAATTGAATAAATAAAAAAAAATCTGCATTATTAAAAGAACGCATTTGAAAGTGTATTTGTCTATATGGATAACGTAATCTTGTAAAATAGACACAAAAATATTCAGACGAATTTAGGAATTTTTCTTTTGTAAGTCACTTAAAAAAGATTGTGATAAATAGTTAAATAAATACTTTATTTGAGCCATTTATGACGTAAACAAATGAGTTCATACAAAATATTAATTAGACTTTTTTTTTTTAATATAAAACAAAAGATAAAATAACAAACTCTTTTCTCCTACTTTCTTCACGGCTCTGGAACGCGCTTCCGAAAACCATTAAGAGGCTATAGACTAAACCGTCTTTCAAAAAAAAGCGTTCACGCTGACTTTTTTACTTTATCCGAGCAGTAAGTGCTTTATATTATTCTCAATTTGGTGAATAATATAGTATATATCATATATGTGTAAGTATATTTGTTATTCATATATATTTGTTCGTTTACATATGTAATTTTAGTATGTATGTATATCAATAATTAGTAGTACCGCGTTCGAATATTCTGACACTTCTCTATGGTTGACTGGGAGAGAATGCTTTTAGTGTTAAGTCCGCCATGTATACATATATGTAGTAATGAATAAATAAATAAAATACGAAGATATATTTTCACCATATGTGTTGCAGTGACCCAATTGGTGAACCCAAACGAGCTATTTTACATAATATGACAGATGTATACAATTTACAGATAATTTGGTTAGTTTTTGTTGTGTCCATTTTATCACGAAACCCTAAAGACAAGCTGCAAATCATTTAATCATTGAAAATCATTTCCACGTGATCGATTCATTGGTTTTCGCTTTGATCTAGTGTATTGAATGCAACGAATTAATTCAACAGTTGCATAAATTTATAGTTTTTTGAGACCATTGTCCAGTTGATCAGCGGCTGCGAAAGCATTTGCAGAAAGAGTCAAACGAGTTTAGACAAGAGTGGCTCTCAAGCAAGTATATGATTCGATTAGATGGTAAACAACCCTGATGGTCGCTGTGATTTAAGTAGGTCATAAACACTTTGTAGAATCTAGTGACCAGAAGATCTTGATTCATAATATCTGATAATCTACCCCTTGAAGCAGAACACAGCCTGTAGTCAACACTCTTGTTGGTCTTGGGGATCGATAGAAATGTGAGACAAAGGTACCATATGAGGTAAAATGAAAGTGGACGATTTTGTGTAAAGGGTTTTCCAGGTAAGTTTTTAGATAAATAAATAAACGATACATTTAACTTTGGTATTGGTAATTTTTAGCTTTAGACCTAAATATCATCATGGACATTATAAAGACACAAAATGCTCAATGATGCCCATGTTACCCCATATATATTGCCAATGCATGCTCAAGGACCCGTCTTCATGGCTTGTAGTTTCAGACAGACATTCTTATTGCAGCAGGTGAAATTTTTCACTTTATTTCACCAATATTTCAGTAGATACAAATGGCCTGCTTTAGATACATCTGGTAACACGTGTCTATGCATGTTTTATGCGAGGGCGCGCGAAATGTATTTATAGGGTGTGCCTGTCCCGTGCCGCTGCTGTCCTGAGACAGGGGAGTGATAAATTGCGAACGTATTGGGGATAAATTTACTACATCTGAGGTCGATCATCACGTTGATTAGATTTTTAGGGATCCTACAGGCAAAACACTCCACTTCGTTTACGTACGTATTTGCTCCCATGTTTTATAGAATCCGTATCGGACAGTGCTTTATCGGAGAGTGTTTCGTTTCTTCGAAACTGGATTTCTTAGAATCTTACAGACAATCGTTCCTGAAATACATTGTTTTTCGTGTGGCTTTGTTTTTACTTTACTTTGATGAAAACCTATCTAACTTCGGCTTATATTTGAGATAGTATCAGAAAAACTACTTACTACTTAATGAACCTAGCTAGGGGAAAAGGGATTTGTATGGTATGGAATATGGTAGGTCACGAATGATGGCAAGAAAACGAAGACTTTAACAATTGGATATTATTTTACGTTTTTAATCGTTAATTACAGGTAATAAATAAATAGACGTGTGATGTCGATCGTATCTAGGTGCAGACTGGGCGTGTGGCGTCCGTTGCGCCGATTATAAGTTTAAAAACGACTGCACGCAGAGACAATGACATAGACAAACTATTTTATTAATAATTTAGTTTTGAGGCACAGGACGCGTCGCTTACAGGATTGTTAGCAATGGAGTTTGACAGCCCCATTGCCAGCAATATACCCTATTAGGTCGACCTCTACGTGGTTCCCCCTAGAAACCATCGTGACCAATTCTTGTTGAATTCGTCACGATGGGCTAACTGACCTGCTTCATCCTCACCTATTTTCTTTCACTGGTGCCCCGCCAGTGTATACCGATGGCGCGGGCGGGGTTACCATACCATCCATATCACCCATTGAAAAAAATGAACCTAGCTATACCATTATTATGAGGATTCGCATTGATTTCGCAACATAATTCACTTTGAATTCATTTAAATTTTCCCATGTTTTAATTTAATATTTTCTAATCTGTAAGCTTTGGGTATGACAAATAAAAGTATGAGTACTGAAAACTGAGTACCCAAGAATGGGAGCACACTTAACCCAGTTCAATATGTCGCCACAATAACAAAATAGTGCTGTCAGCGAAATTACTTGTTTCATCATCATTTCAGCCATTATCCGCCCATAACTGGATTTAGGCTTCTCCCAAAGACTACCATAAGAAACGGTCCTGAGCCACCTGCATCCACTGACTCCTTGTAACGCATTTGAGGTCGTCACTCCATCTAGTACGGGGTAGCCACTCGAGAACTTTTCTTCTCCATCGATTATCGGTTCTACGAGCTTATTTATTTTCAGAATACCAATGGTTTCGCTAGTGAAATTAAAGTTTGTCTTTATAGAATAGCGTTACAGGTGAGTAACATAAAAGAGGCTACAGTACGGAGTTGCAAGCAGCAGAAAGTTGGTTGTAGAAGGTAGGTGTTTGCCTCCGATTCTGAAATATCTGATAATATTTACGTGATATGTATGTATATTCGTATAGTATATACAAAGAAATAACATTCTTCTCTTCCTTTGCTGTAGGTATCGTAAGAGGCGACTGAGGGAACTTAAGGGTCGAAGGATGAACAGTAGCATCTCTCTTAAAACGACACCAAAGCTTGCGGTTGCCAACCTGCCTGGCAAACATGGCAACTAAGGACAAAGTCTCTCTATATGGGGAGGCCTATGTTCAACAGTGGAAAGTTAACGGCTGATATGACGGTAATAAAAACAAAACATTCTTAAAAACCTGAAAATAGGTATTTTAATAGTTGTGATTGTAGGCACTTTGTGAAATTATGTACACATATTAAAATAGGTAGAAATTTTGAATGGAAACTTTTTAGGTATTTTTTTTACGGGATTTTCAGGCAGAATACCTGAGTCACTGCGACCTGTCTATGATCTTTTGTACTCGTCCTTTTTTAAAGTTCGCTGCTAATTCCTATCAATGATAGGAATTTTAAGATGTTCTTTGTAGCGACGTTTTTATCTCAGGATATAGAGTGTGTTTTCCTAAGGAGATACATCGTTCATGAATGAGTGGGCTACAGCCGCATATTAAGTACTGCGGGCCATACCCTTATTTAGTATGCAATGCCCAGTGAGAGCCCTTGTTAATGTTAACACACATTATTTTTACTCAAAAGAATTAATTTCTTAAAGTAATTTTCTGAAAATCCCTTAATCAAAGCTTTTGAGTGATTTAATCTTGGCAACAGGAGCCAGCTATGATTTGCTGCTTCTAAGCATTCAATTTTATAGGTATAAAAAGTACTAACTTTCATCCGGAACTTCTTCCGTGCGTCTGGTATACGTCTATAGACCGGAATAAAAATACAGTTTATATTTGTCTCTATCCCATATAGGTAGTATATCTGTACTAAATTCAATTTTCACTGATTAATTGAGTTGTTAAGGGGACGGGCAGCAGCGTTCCTCTTAAAATATCACCAAAAGCCAAACTGCGTTGGCCAACCCACCTGCCAAACGTGACAACTACTAGCAAAGCTATCCTTATGGGGCAGGCTATGTTCAACAGTGGACGTTAACGGCTGATACAATTACAATTAGGCAATCAAGACATTATGGGGTATCAGGAGGTAACATACATGGCACTGTTCATGTCTATAGGCGATGGTTATCACTTTCCATTAAGTGGATCGTCAGTTTGCTTGCCATTCTAAGTTTTCATAAAAACAATGACAACAAACAAACTCACTGTCATATTCATAATATTAATGAAGATATACTTGTATAGATGCGAACTAGTGGACATAAGATGGTTATAAAAATAGACTTATTAGTATTAATATCACTTTATCATTATATAATTTTAGCCGTTAAATTATTGTCCACAGACGAATGTAGGCCTGCCACCGGTAATATATTTAAGATAACTATTTTACTATATGGGAACTTTTCTTTCTCACCATTTGTTGGTTTCCCGAACTATAATGATTAGTTCATTGCCATTTTATTTTATATATCCTTTGTGCTTCATCAGTCACTTTAGCTCATTGATGGATATTTACATTTAAGAGTATAGTTCTCTTCATAGTTCATTGAGGAACTTTAAGCTTTTACTAAGATAAACGGCCAGTTGATCAATTACCTACATTGAATTTTAATTTGATAATAATTGAAATAGATTAATTTTTAAGGAGTATCGAGATTCCTAATTTTGGAGGTGTCCTCTTTGTAAATTAGGACGAGGAAGAATGGGTAGTAGAGAGTAGTCAATTAGTGAGTTTCTATTATTTTTAATCTATGATGATTTTGGATTTAATAATGACTTAAATTCGTAATCTATGGATGATTATGAGAAGTAAAAAAAACTTACCCCACATTTCTGGATTTGTAACTTGTAAATTACAAGGAATTTATATATTACGTAACATTACATAGTATATAAATTCCTTGAGAAATTTTTTACACTGAAGAAAAGTCACTTATCACAAAATTCCGAGCGGAAATGGTAAAACAATCGTTACTATCCGTTATCTACGAAAAACAAGAACGTTTAGTGCAATCTGTGGTTTGACATACACGTCAAGAATGTCAAACGTCATTGAAATGTCATCTTGGCCAATGACAGCGACAGGACTAGCAGGTAAAATATATTTTTTACCAATAGCGTTTTCGACGTTTTGTCTATTATTATTTGTTTTGTACACATTTTAATCGGTGGCACAAACATTCCGGCAACTTACAAATATTCATCAATTGGACAGATCGACAATGAGGTAAGTTGCGGATGTATAACACATTAATTCAGATTGTATTGTCGACGAACGAACGACTACTAAACGAAGGTCGCCCACGTACTGACTAATGACCACAGAACGCTATTCTTATGACAGACAACTAGTGTAAGTAAAAACAAAGCACCTATGTTATCGAGTTGGTGGCGATATTCCAGATAATATCTCATGATCGTGTCGCGCCGGTGGTTGAACGGACAGAGGTGGCGGAGGACTGCGTCGCGGCAACATGACGAGACCCGGGCCCCCTAATGAAAATTTACCCACGGTAATGTACTGTTGTTATATTACTAATGATTGGTATTTGTATGTTGATAAGCTGATTATCTCAGATCTAATAACCTGATGTGTTTACTTATGTAAGACTTGTATTGAATATTGGGAATTTATCACTGAATTTATTATGATATTATTTAATATTATGACCTTTAATTGAACAACAGTAGGAAAATATTGCTAAGTAAAATGTAATACTTAGTTTATTTATTTGAGTGACCAAAATGAAAAAAGATCAAGTGTTACATACAATGTTTGCTTAATTATATCATTAGTATTTATAAAAATAAACAAATGTTTGAATACATTTAAATAATTATCATACAAACAGTAGTGTATCTATTTTAGTTATGTGTAACATTTGTTATTTGATATAAATATGTATAAACACACATATGTTTTACATTTTATTTCATATAATATTTGCACATGTTAATATAATATTATATATAGTTTATTGGTATAGGTTTGTCGCTTTATTTGGAGAATAGTTATTACTGTGTTTAATATATATTTTTAAATGGACATAGCAGCATAGACATATAGCGTTGTGTACTTTTGGAGAACATCTCTACAGATTAACAGTACATCATTGTCAGTAGTAAAAAACACATATTTGATGTATTTAAATGAAGTGTGTAATGATACACACATACCCTAGTTCTAGCCTGCACTTATTATAATTGTGCCACTGTACTTTCTATTTTGCAACTAGCAATGCAATTTACCTTTCTAGTATCAAATCTGTGAACTTCAGTTATGTTTTTGCCTCTCATCAAGCTTGTACAGGCTGTATTGATAGTTTGTTAATAATAATTATTATATCTTAATTATGTTAAAATTTACAATTATATAATATGATTTATTATTTTTAAATATTCATTCATTCATTTAGAATGAATGAATTAAAACTCTTTATTATTTCCTTCAAAGAATGATACGACTTATAAAGATTAACAGTGTGCACACAAACAAAATTGTTTTTTGTCACATAAAATCTACTGAACTGATAGAGGCAGCCATAATTCTTGTCTTATTTAAAAATATATTTAAAATTGTCTTAATCTTATCCCAATTAAGAAGCTGCTGAATTATAAATCAATATTTGGTTAATATTTGCCATCCATTTAAACCTTTACCCCATGGGTTATAGTGATCACATACTATCAGTTGAATGACAAGTCATTTTGCCTGCACTATAATTAAAAACCCAAAATAAAAGATCTTAACCTAAAGTACAAATAATTGAGCTGTTTATACTAACAGTACATAACAGTATTTTGTAAGGGGAAAGGGATTGTTAGTAATGGAGACTGAGAATCCCACTGCTAGCAATATACCCAACCATGTCGACCTCCTCGCGGTTCCCCCTGGAAACTATCATGGTTAATTCCTGATGAATTCATCATGATGGGCTAACTGGCCTGTTTTCATTCTCATTCATCACCCTTCACTGGTGCTCCACCAGCGTATCCAGTTAGCGCTGGCGGGTTTATTAAAAAAAAAACAGTATTTTGTATTTAGCCATACTATATCAGTTGTTAACTGTCTCCTGAACATAGGCAGTTTCCGTAATTGGGGGGGGGGGGGGGGTTACCAGTTGCCACTCTTGCTAGGCAGGTTGGCAATCGCAGATAGGCCTTTGATGATGTTTAAGAGGGACGTTGCTGCCCATTCTTGGACCATAAGATCTCTTAATCTCCACCTATGGGAAAGGAAGGGGTGTCCTATTCTATGTGGCCATAAGGCTGTATTGTTTAATATTAAAATAATAATAGTTATTAGCATTCTTGTTAAGGAGTGTTCTATTAGTCAAGTAAGCATTTTTTTCAAAGAATTAATGGTTGAAAAACATTGGATTTTCAATACTTCCAGGAAGTGTTAGGTTGTCAAGATAGTATCGGAGTTTCCAATTTGTCATTTTTTCATCTGTGGTAAAAGTGTTCAAGTTTTGTGGGTGGAATACTCCTTTAAAAAGATGTAAATAATTTCAATTTCACCCAATATAATTGAGAACACTTGTAGTTTTCCAACATTATGTCTTATACAACTTAGAATGGCAAACAAGCTGACGGCCCACCTGATGGACACAACAGAGTATACTGTTTCGCCATGATACCCACCAATCGTTGCCATACCTGAGGACTCAGGTGTTATTCCTCTGTACCCTGTAAATTCACGCCATATCCTACCGTTCAAACCGAAACACAGCCATGCAAACACAACTGCTTCACGGTTGTAACACGAATGGGACAGAGGTACCCAAGCAATCGACTTTTGTACAAAGTCTCCCTCTGGTGTTTTTTCTTAGTTAAAATTTCAAATTCTATCAAGTGTTAATGGTCTTCAGCATCAACACAAAAACCAGTAATTGTGATAATAAAACTGTTCAAATGTTCATCACTAACATGCTCAGGATGCTGGAAGACTGTTCACTATTTATTTGGTATTGTGTTTTGCTTCACCATTAAGTGGCGTTTATTTGTTTTCAGAGCTGACGTTTATTTTTGCCATATGCAGTATCATGTCTATATTCAAAGACAGTGACAGTGTATGTGCTGAATTACCTTTTTTTTAATTGAGTGAGGTTGTTTTTCTTCTAATTGTCTCTTAAAGTATTAAGGCGTATCTCCGCCTGTCTTCCATTGGGGGAGGCAAAAACAACTTGGTGGACTACATCCGTTTAGCACAGCCCTTATTGATATCTCCAGACATTCGTGCTCAATAAATCTCTTTCGTAATTTTTCTTTCATAAAATTTTTTTTATTAAAAATTTGGAGAGGATTCCAAATGTTCAAATCAACATAAAATATAATATTGAGTTATTATTCTATAAGTCTCCTTTATATCTGTATGGATGTGGATTGGACTTTCTTTAATAAATTCTATATAAAATAATTATATAATGTTTAAGTATGTTCATATATATATATGTGAATTATTTCTATATAAATAACATAGGATATATTTTTAATATTTTTAAGAGTAGACTTAAACAGCATCTTCTATCTCTATGAACATATATTTATTTATCTATATATGTAGGTATATTGTATGTATATGTGTATGTATGTGTATGTATATGCATAGATGTAGGTATATATTTATGTGTATGTATATGTGTATTTGTACGATAAAATATAATGTAATTCATTTAATTTTGGCTGTTTAAAAATTGTACACTGCTGTATCCGCTGACATTAATGCTTCTTTCCACTTTGGGTGTTGCTGGAAGAGAACTCTATCAGAGTTAAGCTCGCCTTTGTACTTTTGTTTACCTCTGTCATATTTTTATAATTAATGTGTACAATAAAGTATTAAATAAATAAATAAATTGGAATAGGTTTTTCTTTATTTTATTTTTTTAATAAGAAGGTCAGTTAATGTTTAATTTTTTCTTTTATTGTTCTTCACAAGCTACTTCATGCTCCGCTTTAATTGTTTATATATTTATACGCCTTTATACATTCACTTTTAATATAAATATCAGATTACAATTCACAATAATTGTTACAGAGACAGAAATCGAGCAGAAAAATAACCTCACTCATGTTCCATAGTTTTTAGTCCCATTTTAGCTGTGTTTACATTGTTTAGACTAGTTCATCTGTAAATTCGACAATTTACTGTGTTATTCTCATTTTTGCCGTGGTATTATTTTTAAATTATATGTAAAAAATAAATTTTGAATTTGTCATATTATTATCACTTATACTGTAAATAATAAACTTCCATAATATACTTTTTTATAATTTATACTATCATGCAGATCAGAAGTTTAGAGGCGATAATTTTTTTTAATGAATGATAATGAAATGGTATTCTCACCTGTGCTATTGGTACACGTTGGTGAGGCACCAGTGAGAGATGATAGGTGAGGATGAAAGCAGGTCAGTTGGCCCATCGAATCAATCATAATATTTTCCAGAGGGAGCCGCGCAGTAATTGACTTTGCAGAGTATATGTATTGCTAACAACAGGGCTTTTTTTATTTTAATGGGTGTGAATGAATGGTAACTCCGCCTGAGCTGACGGTATACATTGGCAGGGCGTCAGGGAGGGATGATAGGTGAAGATGCAGCAGGTCAGATAGCCCATCGTGACGAATTCAACAATAAATCAATCACGATGGTTTCCAGGGGGAAATGTGTGGAGGTCGATCTAATAATAGTGGGATTGTTAAACCTAATTACTAGTAATCTATTCTCTCCCTAGAAATGGGGCTGGTGGCAGTAGTTGTAACCGTCAAACGTCAACCAGAGTAGAATACTGTGTCATTGGAGGGAAGGGATTGTTAGTAATGGGGAGTTTAGTCCCCATTACTATCAATATAACCTATCAGGTCGACCTCCACGCGGTTCCCCCTGGAAACTTTCGTGACCAATTTATCATTGAATTTGTCACAATGGGCTAACTGATCTGCCTTTTTATCCTCACCTATCGCCGCTCACTGGAACCCCGCTAGTGTATACCGATAGCGCTGGCGAGGTAACCATGCCCTTTTTCACGCATAAAAAAAAAATACTGTGTCATTAAATTAGACTGTAAAGATATGGGCACTTAACTAAGGGCCGTCAGATCAGAGCCAATTTAGGAAACTTTATTATCTAACTTGGGCCAAGTGAGACTGTTTTACATATAGCGCAAGTGTTATTGAAGCATACCTTATTTGGAATATCACTGTCATTTTTATAAGTCTTTTTCTTTTTAATTGTTACTAAATTGCATTTAAAAACATTGGTCGTAGGCTAAATTTCTAGATTTAGTCTTGAGTTGTCCCAAATTCTTACATTCGATTTGTCAATTGTATTTTTTTTTTGTATTTTTAGCTTCGCTTGTAAATGTAGTGATAATATTTGTTTGTATAAATAACTAGTTTAATTAAAACATATGTGTACAATATTGGTGCTCCGGTTTGCAGGTGAAGCTGGTGGTGGTGGGAGATGGTGGCGTCGGCAAGAGCGCCATCACGATCCAGTTCTTCCAGAAGCTGTTCGTGACGGACTATGACCCCACCATCGAGGACTCGTACATACAGCACACTGAGGTGGACGGACAGTGGTGCATACTTGATGGTAATACATTGCTATAATATATTTTATATACAATTTTTCATGCATGTTTTTATAGTTGTTCAGAGGAAATAAGTATAACAACTAACTAAATAACGTTTGTACATAGCGGATGTTTAAGAAAAATTATCAGAGAGAAAAATGTTTTAATAAGATTAATAGAAGTGAAAACAATCATTTTTTAGAAATTTTGTCTACCTGTCTATCTGTATGTTTGTTCTGGCTTTACGCAAAACCTACTGCACCAAATTGGAGAGGATTTTCGCAGTCGTATTCCTAAAGGTGTAACTTAAAATTTGATGTATGTTTCGTATTGATACGCCATCTAGAAGTACACTATTTCGTTGGTTTTTCTATATATGAAATCCATTCATACTTCGTATCGTACGTCCCTGTCTTAAGTAAGCTTCCTATATATATATATATATATATATATATATATATATATATATATATATATATATATATATATATATATATATATATATATATATATATATATATATATATATATTAAACAACATATATGTGATTGTATCTATTTGAATAAGTTGTTTACTTAAAGAAAGAAAAACATAGTGTATTTAATTTTTTTTTTAATGAATGATAATGAAATGGTTACTCCGCCTGCGCTATCGGTGTACACCGGCGGGGCACCAGTGAAGGGCGATAAGTAAAAATGAAAGAGCAGGTAGGTTACCCCATTGTCATAAATACACCTGGAATTCAGCACGATGGTTTCCAGGGGGGACCGCGTGTCGCTTTTTACTGTTTTTTTTTTATATTGAGAATGTTTTGTGATGCGGCCAGTTTCAGACACATACACAAAAACACACACACTACATACACACACACACACACACGCACATTCATAATACTTATCCATACACGTGTATTGGTGGTGAGATCTAAATGAAATAATTGTATTATACAGATTAGTTACACAATTGTCAGTACTGCTAAGAAGCCTATGTTTAATATCTGTATGCATGTATATGATAACGCGAGTACTGCTTCCTACAGGACACGCTCGGGGGGAAAGGGATTGTTAGTATTGGAGACTGAGAATCCTATTGCTAGCAATATACCCAACCAGGTCGACCTCCTCGCGGTTCCCCCTGGAAACTATCATGGTTAATTCCTGATGAATTCATCATGATGGGCTAACTGGCCTGTTTTCATTCTCATCGATCACCCTTCACTGGTGCTCCGCCAGCGTATCCCATTAGCGCAGGCGGGGTTACCATACCATTTTCATCCATCAAAACAGGACATGCTCAGCCTAGTGTAGGAAGCAATGATAAATTCTGTGCCAATACAAACATACTTTGTCAAATAAATATATCTTTATTTAATTATCTCTTTGTCTCAGTGCTGGACACGGCCGGCCAGGAGGAGTTCAGCGCGATGCGCGAGCAGTACATGCGCAAGGGCGACGGCTTCCTGCTTGTGTACTCGGTCACCGACAAGCAGAGCTACGAGAACATACGCCACTTCCACACACAGATACTGAGGGTCAAGGACAGGTGCTACATAGTTTTATTAAAATGAGATTGGCCGTTAAAGATAATCGCTTTGTTGCCCCCCCCCCCCCCCCCCCGCTCCATGTCCATGTGTTGACTGTGCTATCTGTTATTTATTTAGAATATAATGTCAAATGGAGGCGAATGTAATGGACACATACAATGCAGTTTATTTATATTTCTTTTTATTGTTATTTTTAATGAAGAGTTCCGCGACTGACTCTTGGCCACAGCAGAATATCAGTGTTTTGCTCTTATAAGGGCAAAGCAATAAACTGAGCTGTGACCATTTTGTGTTACTATGGCACACGCATGAAGGAAGGGATAGAAAGGAGATTGTTAGTTTATATATTTTGTTTTTGGTTTTCTTTTTTATTTGTGCTTTTTTATTTTCATTCTTTTATCTCTTTTACTGTGTATTATGTGTATGTTTTTTTTATTGTAATTTGTGTGCTGTAAGTAATGTAAATAAATTATCTATCTATTAAAATGAATGGAAATAGAATGGCTTAATAATGGATGATAAATGGCATGGTAACTCCGCCTGCGCTAACGGTATACGCTGGTAAGGCACCAGTAAGGTTTGATAGGTGAGAACGAAAAGGCAGGTCAGTTAGCCCATCGTGATGAATACACCTGGAATCCAGCACGATGGTTTCCAGAGTGGACACATGGAGGTCGACCTGACAGGGTATATTGCTAGCAATGGAGCTGGTAGTTCGTATTACTAACAATTTTTTCCCCTTGGAAATGGAATGGTAACCGTGCTTTTGATATTTTGTGTTAGCTGGATATCTGTGAATTTTTTTTAAACAACTTAGAATGGCAAACACACTGACGGCCCACCTGATGGAAAGTGGTAACCGTCGCCTATAGATATGAGCAGTACCATGGACATAACAGAGTATACTGTTTCGGCTATGATACCCCCCATGCGTTGCCATTCCTGAGGATTCAGGTATTATTCCTCTGTACCCAGTAAATTCACGTCATATCTCACCCTTCAAACCGAAACAGCCATGCAAACACAGCTGCTTCACGGTTGAAACACGAATGGGACAGAGGTACCCAAGCAATCGACTTTTGTACAAAGTCTCCCTCTGGTAAAAGTGAATGGTGATAGATGAGGATGAAGTCAAATCAGTGGGACCATTGTGACAAAGTAATTAGGAATTAGTCATGATGGATTCCAGGAGAGACTACGTAGACGTTGACTAGATTATAAAATTGCTTTTTTTTTTTAAGAATGATAATGAGGTAGCAACCCTGCCTGCGCTATCGGTATACGCTGGCTGGGCACCAGTGAGGGATGATTGGTGAGGATGAAAAGGCAGGCCCATCGTGACGAATTCAACGATAAATTAGTCACGATGGCTTCCAGGGGGAACCGCGTAAAGGTCGACCTGATAGGGTATAATAATAGTAATGGCCACTGACCTCCCTATTACATGTCTCCATCCTTCTCCCCACTATAATATTGGCCGTGTGGCTGGCGGCGCGGTGCAGGGAGTCGTACCCGATGCTGCTGGCGGCCAACAAGGTGGACCTGGTGGCGGCGCGCGCGGTGGGCGAGGAGGCGGGCCGCGAGCTGGCGCGGCAGCTGGCGGCGCCCTACATCGAGACCAGCGCCAAGGAGCCGCCGCTCAACATCGACGCCGCCTTCCACGAGGTCACACGACACTCCTCATACAATATCACCTCGTCGTCAATGGCGTTGACTGAAACGTTGACTATTTACGATTTTGTCATGTATAATCATTAAATTGTATATCTTAATCTAGCGTCAGGGGTGTTCTTTTCTAGAAATCTGTCTGATTCTAGAATAAGGGCATTCGGGTATGCGACCCGGGTCCCCCGAGCCGCTGCAGTGTCCCAGTCCTTTTCGCAATTGCAGTGTCCTCTCCTTTCCTTTCCCACATAAGTCCCTTATTCTTTTCATTACCAGTTTCCTTTACACATTTCCAACGTTCCCTTCCCTTTTTCCTCAATCCTTTCCTCCATACCGTAGGTGGCGGAAACCACCGACAAATGCATTCCCAAAAAGGGTTGACGTGAGGCAGGTGGCCGGTCGTAAAATTAAAAACCAAATCTTTTTGTAACATGGATAAAACCATTTTGTACCGACCCCAAATAATAATTAAGGGATAAGGGTAGGAAGATGATGATGTTTACCTTAAATAGGCAGAATAAAGTTCAAGTAAGAAAAGGAAAATATGTTATTAACCCTTTGCACTCGAGTGGCGCCGATACGGCGCCCGGCCGATTCGAAGTGGCAACTCGAGCGGCGCTGCTGCGGCGCCCGAGTGTTTTAAAACTTCAAATCGAACTACGCTGCTACGACGCTACGGTCTTTTGTAACTGAATCTCCTTATTTACAATATGCGATCACATAGTTTTCTCGGAAGTACTTTCGTGGACTAGGCTCTGCTTACATTGTAGCCAAAAAAGACCTCGAGTGCAAAGGGTTAATTAATGTTGTAATAAATTAAAAGGGTTAAATTTTTTGAAGTTTGATATCGTTATTATTGTTTAGGTTTTGGATGAAATTTTTTTTTATACAACTTAAAATGGCAAACAAGCTGACGGCCCACCTGACGGAAAGTAGTAACCGTCGCTAATAGACATGAGCAGTACCATGGACATAACAGAGTATACTGTTTCGCCCATGATACCCCCCATGCGTAGTCATTCCTGAGGACTCAGTTGTTATTCCTCTGTACCCAGTAAATTATAATCAATTTATGATAATATTATATAATAGAAGGGGGAAAATGCTGGGTCATCTTATACGACATGAAGATTTTCATAAAGAGCATAGTAGAAGGAAGCAAAAGAGCAAGGGGATTTTTTTTTTGATGGGTGACAATGGAATGGTAACCCCACCTGTGCTAACGGGATACGCTGGCGGAGCACCAGTGAAGGGTGATAGATGAGAATGAAAACAGGCCAGTTAGTCCATCATGAAGAATTCATCAGAAAATAACCATGATAGTTTCCAGGGAGAACTGCGAGGAGGTAGATCTGGTTGGGTATATTGCTAGCAATGGGATTCTCAGTCTCCATTACTAACAATTCCTTTTCCCCAGGAGGACGGGGAAGATTGAGGATATATATATATATATATAATATATAATATATATATATATATATATATATATATATATATATATATATATATATATATATATATATATATATATATATATATATATATATATATATATATATATATATATATATAATATATAATATATAATTATATTGTTTGATCCGCAGCTGGTGCGCATTATTCGAAACCACCCGCAGCAAGAGGAGAAGCAACGCCGCCGCAGGAAGTTCGGCAAATGTACTCTGCTGTGAAATTGCAGCGCGCACTCCACGCACGCGCAACACGCACGCCACGTGCGTGTGCACACGCCGCCCATGCGCTGTACATGCGTCACACGCGACCATGTTCCTCTAAATTGTGTGCTGCGCTGCTCTAGCTGGCTGGATGGATCTACTAGGTATGGTATAGTTGGTTGGTTGGTCGGATGTCGCGGAGGCGTAGATGTAGCTCTGTTTTACTGTAAGTTATTAATTTTATGTTTTTAATATTTTCTTTCATAACAAAATGTAATGGGATTACAGTCTATCCAAATACTCTTTTACAGTTTTAATTATAAATGCTAATTTAATTCTTATTTACTAAATAGTATTATACTATTTGTTATATAAAAATAATTATTTATAAATGTTTTTTACGCGATGCAAAGGAAGCGAGTCCATACAGCTGTGTTTTTATGAAATCTGAAAAAACTAAAATAGGATAATGATAAAAAAAAAAATACAATTAATCTATTACTTATTATTATTAATTTTTCACTCAGTATCATGATTTGTTTTTATAAATAAGCCAGTGTTTGACCAAAAGTGGCTATCCCTAATTTAAAACTACATAATAAATGTCTTTACTAACCAGTGGCCGAATTTTTAGCTAGCTTTTGAATTGCTTGACGAACATGGTGGTATAACTGTGGTATTTATCTGATAATGGATATTTGTGTTATGTATGTTGTTTCATGTTGGATACATAGCCTGTCAGTAATGTAATAGAAGATTTGATTGCAGGCATTTAATGCATGTTTAATGATTTAATGCATTCTTACACACTCCGATAAATCCTTAATCAGTTACATCTACAATGATGAATTATAAATGTGTAACGAGAATCATTATATACGACCGTAATACGATTTATTTATATAATTTGAACGGCACAGATAAAGCTGCTGTTTATCGGATCGTGTATGGACGGCTTTATGAGTTCGCTATCTGTGAGCTTGTCTATCATATAAGGCATGTACAGAAATGTGAATATATGTTTAGGATGTATAATGCTGTTCTTGGTCTATTCACTCTATCTCTATTTATCTGGAGATAGCTTTTTTTAATGAGTGAAGTTAGAATAGTAGCCCCGCCTGCGCTATCAGTATACGCTGGCGGGGTCACCAGTGAAGGGTGATAGGTGAGGATGAAGACAGGTCAGTTGGCCTATAGTGACCAATTGAACAAGAATTAACCACTATGGTTTCCAGGGGGAAAAACGTGGAAGTCGACCTGATAGGGTGTATTGCTAGCAATGGGGCTGTTAAATCTCATTACTAACAATCCCTTTCCCCCATCTGGATCTAGTTAGAATAATTCACAATTTCTATTGGTATTGGTAACTAATTTGTTATTTATATCCATGAAAGCTTAATATATTTTAATTGTAACAGATTTTTATAACTTTATGCCTAGTTGGTCAGTTAAAAGGTATTGAACCTTACGGGAGAATGTTTAGTCTATTTCTGCAGTATTAAATTCTATTATTTTAATACATAGTGTTATTATTTGAGTGTTTATTTATTAATTTATATTTAACCAAAGTATAGCATTTATTTAGTGAGTAAGTCGCTGTGTTATCTTAGTGTAAGGCTTCCTTTAATTAGGACGTGTTCGAATGCAGCATGAAATTGGAATATTCTGGAATTAATAATACTAGCTAGGTAAAATGTATTGTCTAGTTTTTATTACTTAATTGGTAAACAATATATTTTTGATTCATAATTTTAATTAGTGATTAACTGATAAAAAAAATGGACATTCGCGATTTTTGAATAAAATACTTACCCAAGTTGTTTATCATAAGTAACAAACTACAATTACATCCTATTGACCAGTATTTATATTCGGTCATTCTTAAAATTTTATTTATTTAAGTAACTTAAATATATATATATATATATATATATGTATATGTATATGTATATGTATACTACTTTTGAATATGATATACAAGGATCCAAATGTCAGGCTAAGCGCGGAAAATGCAGTCTAAATTCATTGTTTTACGGTATAATTCTTCGCGTATATTTAGACCTGGTAACATTTCGTAAACGATGGCGAATGATCGTGTAATGGGTGCTTTATTGAAAGGCGACTAATGATTAGAATTTTGTGCTGCATTAGAATTAATAAATAGTGATGCTTATTTTATTATTTATTGTTTTATGTTTTTGCCAACATTGTTGGTACAGTCACATACAGTACGAGGTCTGTCCGGAAAGTTCGTATAAAAGTGTTCTGGAATGCGAGAAAGAGGAGTGGGGAGGCCAGGTAAGCGCAGGACCCCTTCCTTATGTCCCTAACAATGCTTCAGTTCTGGTCTGATACTGGCTTGTCACGCCATCTGTGAAGTTACCTCTTAACGAAACCCCGTCGGCATGGAGCCCGCTTCCGTTGAAGAGCAGCGCGTCGTAATCAAGTTTCTCTCGAAACTCGGCAAGAATGGCCGTGAAAGCAAAGAGTGGAAGACATCCGGGGAACCACGAACAAAAAAATCAAGAAAATCCCGCTCAAATGTCAAGACAATGTTGATTGTTTTTTTCGATGTTCGGGGGATTGTCCATCAAGAATTCGTCCCTCCAGGCCAGACAGTTGATGGAAAATTCTACGTCGATGTGCTCAGACGCCTCAAAGCTCGTGTGGCACGAGTTCGTCCAGAATTGGCGCGAGAGGGGCGTTGGATTCTTCACCACGACAATGCCCCTGCCCACACCTCTCTTGTTGTCCGTGAGTTTTTGAGTAAAAATTCCATTACGGTGACCGAACACCCCCCCTATTCGCCGGATTTGGCCCCGTGTGACTTCTTCTTGTTCCCAAAAACCAAATTGGTACTTCGGGGGCGGCATTTGGGGGACATAAATGAGATAAAAAAAGCTACGACGGGGCAGCTGAGAAACCTACAACCAGAGGACTTTCAAGGAGCCTTCTCACAGTGGAAACGGCGTTGGCACAAGTGCATTATGTCACAGGGGGAGTACTTTGAAGGGGATAAAATTGATTTACCTGAATAATTGTAAAATAAAATTTTAAAAAACTTTTATACGTACTTTCCGGACAAACCTCGTATAATATGTATACAGCGTCAAATATATCTTTGACTGCCGGCAATTGCTTTCAAATATTATATTTCTAATTACTAAGTGGGGCGATTATAACGCCTCACTGATATGTAGTAAATAAGAGCTTAACCTCCGATTACATCTTATTTATTTATTTATTTATACTTTATTGACCACATTACAAAAAAAAATGTCTGGTACAAAAGGCGGACTTAATACTAAATAGCATTCTCTCTCAGTCTCCATCTTCTGGATTACTAACTCTCAATATTGTTTTAATTTTATAATTGTTAACAAATTTACACATTTTGGAATCTCGTTCGTGAATCGTTTTAAATATATTCAGCTGGTTTTGTCAGATATGCGTTACAAGTGATACTTTGATTGCAGTGATGGAGTTCAACCTCGAATCGAAATATATAAAATACTCTTTATTTTCACATATTTGATGCAAATATGAATAGAAATAGGTTAAAAACAAGTTTGTTTTATTGCTATAAGCTGTCTTTGAGGCCTTTAATTGAAATGATATATTTGATGCTGTATGTATATTTATAGAATAGAAACCCCAGCACAACGATTATAGATATAGCAATGCGTTTGTTGAACGTACTCGTACTGGCGGGTAAAGCTCGCTTTATACGAATTATAATACGGGTCCTTATAACCCGCCGATGACATGTACTAGTTTGTTAATATTGTATATTCAACGCCATCTAGCGACATGCAGTCAAATTAAAACTACTTTTTAAAAAATGTCTCGTGTATTTGAGGTTATTTCGTGACTCGGAGGTCGTCGCCTCCGGAGTAGAAGCCGGGGTAATGGGGTACGCCCCGAGGCCCCTACCTCGCCCGCTCACTCATTATCCGGCGGGCAAGAGAAGACCATGTTGTTGTTGGAAATGGCGCACAAACATTCATAGACATGTTTTTGCAGTTAAAGTCTTGGGTACCGGACAATTCTGAGGCGAGTACGGCCCACCTGTCGCCATTCTCCCTGTAAATTCTCTTATGGACATCTTTTAAACTCGGCGGGTTATACGTTAACCGTATTGCAATTCACACAAAGCGATTTTTTTAACTCCATTTGTCGTGTATTTGAGATTATATATTTTTACTAAACACAAACTAGGGCCAAAGATGTTATGAACAATACCACAGTTGGTAATTTAGATATTATATTGCTGTTCAGTAGTGTTGCCAGATGTTTAATATAACATTTAATGGATAAAACTAAATCTGTTCCTAATCCGGCGCATAATGGCTAGAGTCCAGTGCCGTAAAAACATGCAGTCTTCAATAGGTTATTAAAAATAAATATTTACTCCATAGATAATAATGACATAGGTAGTATTTTGTCGCATTTATTTTTATCGCATAATAAATATATTTTTAATGAAATGTATGTTGCATGTGTTAACCATGTCTATGCGTGTGTTAACTGAATAATGTCGATGTATAATCTAATGTCATTTACCATAAATATAAAGGCTGAAATGTTGTACCAGTAACATTGTTTTAACCGAATCCCAAAGATATAATCATGTAATAATAATAATATAAGAAAATTAAAAAAATATTAATCGTAAGATACTTTATAAAAATATGCGTAATAAATAATAATATTGTCCATTAATCCAGAGTAAAAAAAATGATATTTTCGTCAATTTTACCGAGTTAATATTTTCGTTAACAATTGCATAAATATCTTTTTATTTTACCTCTTTTTTAATAGTCTCTTTTTGTTAGCTACTCTATGTTTTACATTAGGGTGCAAGCGAGACGGAAGATGTCCTAAACGATAAAGAATACATATCTATGATACGTATTCAAAATTGTCTCCACTTTTATGTTGACTACTTCAGTTTTGTTTATCGCCTCTTAAGTTTGTTTATTAATTAAAAAAAAAAAAATGTTGGCTCATGACAGTGTACGCAGATTTTTGTGAAGTTTGTATAATAAATTAGGCAATCAAGTAAATTAATGAGAAACGAGAAGGAATTGAAACTATTAATAAGTGTATCAATAGTTAGGGATAGGTGTATGCGTTGTACGTTTTATACTTGTATGTAACGATATCCTAATGGGCTCTATAGACGGTCAAGCGGTATTATCTTCATCTCTGTGTTCAGGGTTGCCAGAAGCAAAAGTTTCTTTCGGTTTTAAAATGAGTAACTTACAAAATGACTGAGTTTTTAGGTCACATAATTGCTTTATTTAATATTCATTTATATAATATAATTACAATTCTTAATCGTTCAATAGTATTTTTAACCGACTTTAAAAAGAATTTTCAAAACTCCTTCAGTTGGAAATCAACTGGGAAATATTTTTTTTATCTGTAGGGATGGATATACTTATAGATTGGGCCTATAGATATTTTATCGAAATCAATAGTTTCGTTTTTAAATCAAAAGAACTGGTTTTGTCATATTTAAAATCGGTTTTTTGGTCACCTTTAATTTTGGACAATAAAAATTGGGATATTTTTAAATCTATAAACACTTAACATCTGTTCATTGCAATTAAAACACCTTTTAATTGTAAAATTTATATATTTTACCAATAACTTGTAAATAGATATTTAATACCGTTCTATTATAAGTCATTCATTATAAATATAGATATTAATAACGATAACAAAGTAACAAAAACCCCCGAGACTCGCACAAGTATCGTATGACTATATAATACATAGCTTTAATGTTAGTCTAACGTAATACGGACTAGCCCAACCGTTCAACTTTTAATACTTACAAGGCTTACGGGTCTTACAAACTTCTCTCTCGACGTTTTAGTTCAACACTTGTATGGAAAACTACTAGTTCCATCGACGCAACATAATACGTAGCTTTAAGAGGTCGCGTCAAAGAAAAAGTATTATTGTAAATTAGTTAAAATTTTGCTATATTTCATTCTACTCTGTGTAGTTTATTTATTTATTTTTTAACAGGAAAACCAGTGTTACACTAGAGTAAATAGGTACAGTTTATGGTCACAAACAAAGGCACTAATAGGTTTTCACAAGTAGCAACAATATAGATAAAAGGCGCTGTACATAAAGCGACAAAAATAGGAGTTAACAAAAAACAAACTATTTTTGCTTATGTTTATGTACAGAGTACTTATAGAGAACAATCAATCTGCGTGTGTTTTTATGTATTAAGGATGAATTTGAAATCGTTAGCAAAAGTTTCTTTTAAAGGAATAGATACTTTGTTCTATCTAAATATTCTCTAAAAATACATAGGGCGAAAGACGTCTTAATATTGAGAGCCTCATGTGACACGCCGCGTCATAGAAACCTCGATTCATTTTACCGTTTTTAGTTTTCAATATTTTTGTTTTTTTGTTTTGGGAATAACATTTGTCTGTGACGGTGCCGCGGCCGCCTACAGCTCGCGCTCAGCTAGTCAAGTCGCGTAGTAAACTTGCGCTCGCGTCACAGCCGCTCGTGATAAAGGATCACGAAATGATCCTAAAACTAGTCGAGCTCTCTCAATCTAATTACACGTAAGTTAAACCGGTCGTTATCACAGTAAAATATTTAGTTTTCCTTGAATATATACTAACTTGTTAGAGTGCTGTTAATGATTTTGAATTCATCCTTTAGAGATGGATTGACGAAAACCAGCCAATGGCGTGTTTATGTTCCAGAGTTAAGGGGGGTGGCTCCATGAAAAAAGTAGATAATTTCACTCAGAGATGTCTATGTACATAGTGTAAGGTTTTGCTGGGATCTTACGGTGGACAGGGCCCATCCGTCTCTCCATTAGTTATGTCTGCCCTTTGAGAAAACCTAAGGTCTAAAAAACATTTGGTGATTCGGTTCGAATCCTGGTACGTAAAGGAAATTGTGAATACTTAGATGAGAAAAAAGTATAATTCCCAATAAATGATAGGAAACACGCAATGTGGACTTACAGAGAGCCATTTTTAATCGACTCATACAAATAGATTTGTATGGAATGCGATCAAAACGATTATATTATATATATGTTAGTAAGTACGTAAGTATATGTAACATAATAATGAATGTATATCGTTGTTAATCTATGTTTTATATGTTGTAAAATAAATATTAATGTAGAAAATTTTATTGTTTTATTCATACTTCATCATCATCATCATCATCACCATAT